TTTAATTAGTCATGAGATGGGGGCCAGAATGCTGTGTTTTTACCAATCATTCACGTAATTATAACAGACCAGTTTGGGAAACATTGATATAACTATTTAGTATGCTTTCTTACCTTTAACCTTCCATTCCCATAGTCATACCTTGGTTAGTACATTCAATGCTGTTCTAAAAATATAGGCAATTGAGAAAATAGATAAAAATAAACTTCATCTTGGGGTTAGCTTTACAAATTAATTACATCTGAGGAAAAATTGTTTAAACATTCAGAATATATGAAGGGAAAAAACTTTATTGATATTATACTTGAATATTAGAGGTTTGTTCAGAAACCTGTAAGAGGTTTAAGAATTTTGGTGCTGTGCATTTTTTATATGAATAACATTTCTTTTTAAAATTTTGCTGTGTAGAAACTACTGTTAGCCATTCTCACCTTTCCACATACGTGTGAATCCTCTGGTACAGTGTCCTCCATTTCTCCCTAGAGAGTAGAATTGCAGAGCAGATTTCTTTCTAGGGAACATGATGTGGGAAGGATGCCTGGACTGGAGAGAAGGTATAATATTGGTCATCGGGAAAGTCATGACGTATTTTTTATTTTTCTATGGTTTTCAATGCGAAAGTAATCATGACTTTCCTGACGACCCAATATAATAATACTAGACAGATATATTGTACTTACTCTGTTCTAGTCTCTGCTGTAAGTACTTTTTATAGATTAACTCTTTAATCCCTGTAGCAAATTCCTATGAGGTAAATTCTATTATCTCTCATTGACAGTTGAAGAACTGGGGCACAACGAAGTCCAGTAACTTGCCTAAAGTGATAAAGCTAGTTTCAGCAGAGTGGAATATGAACTCAATCTGGCTCTAGAATCCGTACTCTTAACGACTATGCTATACTGGTAGTTGAGGGACTATTTGGAGAGTGGAAAGTAAGGTAGAAGAAAAGGGAGGACATTGTAATGGATGAACATTAGTATAATTTCCATTTCAGAATTTCAGTGAGAATCTTCCCAACATGAAAGAGTCTAACACAATGACTTGTCTTTCCTGTTTACATGACTTACCTTTAACGATTTCTCTTAATTTTCCTTATAAGTTAAATAAGAAAAAAAATATGTTGCTCAATATTGGGTATAATAACAAATTTAAAATTGTTTTGTTTTTTCTTTTAATTGAGAGAGAAGTGAAATGCAGTGGAATGAGCCATTTTAAGGTTCAGAACCCCTTCTTGGAAGCAAGCATGTATAATTTTTAAAAAATTCTCATTATGAGAACCACTGTCTGAAATCGGGCATCTCTCTACTTTCCTGTGGCACTTTGAAAACAAAGTAACAGCAGTTTTAGGTGTTGCGGAATTTTTCTTTTACCTTATTGTCTTTAGAGAAAAATCTGATTTGCTTGTGACTTAGCTGGAATTTCTGAGTGATATAAAAACTGAAGGGGTCTTGGAGTATGAGCAAGAACAGTAGAATGCTGTGGGTGCTAACCCTGGCCCTGGCTCTTCAGGTAGCTCTTAAAAACCAAGAATAAGGCCATCGTGAAGAAGACTTACTTTGCCTCCTGCTTGTATAGCTTTGGAAGAAATTGATTTGATTTGATCACTGTTAGCAATGCAGCACATCAATCAGGGGCTAACATATTCATTTTGGTTCTTCCAGTCAAGTAAACAACCCCGAAGTCAGTGATCAGAAACCTGAAACTTCAAGCCTTGCTTCAAATCTTACCATGTCAGAGGAAAGTAAGTACCATATCCTGTGCTGGAAGAAGTATTTCTATAACCAGGTGATGCTATTTTTTAATAGTTGGTTTTCATTGCTTGCCTTGTTTGTCCCAGATTATCCAGAAGCCTGTCCTTTCCTTTTGTGTGTTCATACTTGTGCTTTCCTATAAGCTTTATTGACATAACAGCCGAGGGACAAAAAAATCACATGAAATCCACTCACCCAAGGAAGTCACACTTCGTGATTTTATTTTTGCTTTGATGTTGGATGTTCTCAAAATCAGAAGTTTGTGGGCCAACCTCTGACTGCTCCTCCAGAGGGCTTGATATTTTTCTACCTTTCTAATGTCAAATAATTCTACCTATCAATGTCAGCCAAAAAAGAAAAGTAATCCTCTGGGACCTGAGAGAGATCCAGCTCAGTAAGATACACCCTCTACTTACCAACCCTCACTCTCCTGTAGAATAGTTATATTCATGCATTAGACAGAAATTTGTAGAGTGTTCTTTTTTTTCCCTTGTGCAGACATAAGCTTTCTCCCACATACTCATTTTCTCCTACAAATTGCCTTTGTAGGGCAAATAGTCCTCCCTGAAATTAAGCAGCTGTATCCTTCTGTATTTTACCACACATTTTAAAAGAATAAATTTGTATAAGACTGTTAAAAAAAAAAAAGACTTGTTTTGGGGGATATTTCTTCTTTTAAGATGATTATACTTAACCTTATATACTTCCCATGTATTAAAAAATGGTGTGACTGAAAAAAAAAAAACAACGGGTATGTCTCGAGTTATATATATTATTTCCTCAGAGGTACTATTTTAGGGGTTCTCAAGCTTTTACTGGACCTGAGTCATCCAGAGTACTTGTTTGTAATACAGAATTTCACCCTCATCTTCAGAGATTATCATTCATTAGATCTGATATGGATGGAAATCTGCATTTTCAAGAAGTTAGCTAGTGATTCTGATGCATATGGGAAACTCTCCATACTGTGGGAAACTGCTCTAATCAATGAAATGTCTCCTCTGATTTTTTGAATGTCTCACTCATCCCCAAGAAAAAAGCCGGTTCCTTACATACTTCAGGGCCAGGAAGTAAGTTGAGTCTTTTTGCTCCTTCCAAGTCATTTCTCTTTCCTTCAAAAACTCTAGTTCCTTTGAAGTCTACATTTACTCCTCCCTTTACCTTTGTTTTTATCTCAGACTGAACTCCTAGTCATTTTGCTATTTAAAGATTAGATCTTCTTTGTTTTCTTGTCCATATAAAATGTTACTCTTGGTAATGTTAATATCCATGTAGAAGACCTATCCAATATGCATCATACCCTCTTCATGTCCCTCTTACTCTCAACATAGATTCTATGGTTTTGCTTTTTTTTTTNTTGCTGTCCTTTTGTTCTTCAGTCTAGTTGTGGAGGATGTCGCTTCACTGGCCCATGTTGGTATTATCATTGCGCTCTTCCCAGGTGAGGCAGTTGCTCGCCGGCCATCTTTCTGCCACTCACGGCAGCCCACTGCAGCCCCACTGCAGTCTACGCTGTTGCCAGCGACTCACAGCAGCCCAGCTCCTGGTCAAGCTGTTGTTCAACATCTTAGCTGTAGAGGACGCAGTGTCACTGGCCCTCATGTGGTATCTGAGCCGGGGTCCTGCTGCTCAGATCTGGCGCTCCCAAGCCAGCTCTTAACCAATGCGCCACTAGGCCAGCCCCAAAGCTAAGATTTTTTTAACCCTTATTTACCTGTGTATAGAGGGAGATGTTACTGATGGGCATTCTCATTGGAGTTTTTTAATCCCATTGTCTCTTCTTGTCTCTCTTATTGTATTATCCCTCTCTTGTTTCTCTACTTCTCACTTGCTCTATGTTAAGATTTGTTCATCCTTGTTCACAGTGCAACATAACTCTTAGCCTCAGGCTCTATCTTTCACTTTTCTTTATGGCCAGTCAATTCTCAATCCTCTGCAATCAGAAATGGTTTCTCTGTGGTCACCATTTACCTGGGTCAGTCTTTTCCCTCCAGTCTTCATCTTTTTCATCTACTCTGAAGCAACTCATATTGTCCAAACTGGAACTCTTTTAAGAATTAAAGGGGGCACTAACCAAACTTGATTTTGGGATAAGAGGTATAAACCAAAACTGTTTCTGGCAAACTGGAAACACTTAAAAACTCCTTTATGGCTATCAGGAGTGCTCTGTGAACTCGTTTTAAAAGGACATTATATGTGTAGGAAACATTTTTGGAAGAATATGATATGATACCAAACTCAATACTAATTATTTCATCATATGGTTTTATTTATCATTCATCGTTTTATTTATTAATCACTATTTTATTTTATTATGTATTCATCTGTTCATGGATACTGGGGTCGTTTTCAGTTTTTGACTATTTTGAATAATGCTGTTATGAACATTCATGTACAAGTTTTTGTGTGGACATATGAGTTTTCATTTCTTGGTTCTATTGCTTGGAGTAGAATTGCTGGATTATATGATAATGATGTTTAACCTTTTGAGGAATTGGTACTAAAGCACTAAAGTAGCTATAGTATTTTACATTCTGTCAGTTTCTGGATCATATTGCTTGAACCTATACTTTTGTAATCCAATGAAATATGTCTGCATCTGTTGTTAGTTTACCTGCCTCTAGTCCTATGGTAGCCTGTCCCTGACTTCAACACGGGGGTATAATTACCCAAATCAAGACAAACAATGGGCCATGAAAGGTAAAAAATTAGCTGATAACACATTTTCCTCTCCCGGACTTTTTTCTTTGGTAGACGTGACTTTAGGTACATTTTCTTCATTTCTATTTATGAGTGCTTGCTCTTTATACTAGGTTGGCACTGTAATAAAAAAGTGACAAAGCATAGTTTTTACTTGAAAGGCCCTTATGTTGTCTCTTAAATTTTTGCTCCAAGACTTTTTTTTTTGGAGTTCATTAGCTAAATTTGTTATTCTGTGGCTCTACTAAAATTAAGACTAAGATAAATTAGATTCTTCAATCTAGTTTTCTTTGTTTGGGTTACTGTTTGAAGACTGTAGACTGTTTGGGTTACTAAACCATCCAGCTCATAAGTACTTTTCTTTGATCACAAAGAGGGTCTGTGGGTGAGCTAAGCATAAATTCATCCCTGTTATTGGAAAATTATATTATTATCTGACTTACGTAAACAATGTCATTTTCAGGTGGGCAGGAGAGCACATTTTATAGCAAGAGCCTGTATTTTGTCATTCGTGAAATTTGGTGGGCACATAAACTAGATAGTTGAATTTTTCTTGTCATTAACCTTATAGTTTCCAGTTAAAACACTGTTTTCCAACCTTAAGCCAGTTCATTATTCTCCTGCCCCTTTTGATGAAGTTATGTCATACATTTGTAATACAGCTAAGTTCCTTTGTCACAGTCTATATATCATCCTGGGATCCTGTGACCTCTTGGTTGGTTTTAGATATCTTTTATTGTACAGAAGTTTTGCATTTTTGTATAATCATTGTATTTTCTTTTTTATGGCTTTTGAATTTAATATCATGCTTAGTAAAGGGTTTCTCTACCTCAAGGGGTTTTGCTTATGTTATTGTTTTTTGTGTTTTTTTTTCATTTGCTTCTGTAATTTTGTTTCTAAATTTAGAGGGTTTTTTTGTTTGTTTGTTTGTTGTTTTTAATCCACACATAGTATAGGTCATTTATTTCCCATCTAGCCCTGGGCTCTTCACCCTTTGGGTTGACAATTTTTTCCAGGTTGCTGCTGCTGCTGATGATGGAGGATAAAGCTCAGCATAGAAGGCCCTCAGGTCCAATATCATGCCCCTGAGCTCCCCGTAGGCCGCTTTATCTCGCTCATGCACTAGGGCCCAGTAATCATTATTACATGAGTCTCCTTAGAGGCCTTGGCCACAGCATCCCTATGCTCTGAGAAGTGCTTGGAAATGGTTGTCTGGAAGGCTTCTATTTTGTCTTGGCTGCATTCACCCTCTCCAGTACCTTCTCCTGGATCACCACCCCAAAGTCATTTCTATCCTCAATCTTGGGGATCAGGTGCTGGATCCATATGATCACTGGAATGCATTTTTCCTTGAGAGCTCAGACTTCTGGCTTAACCAGGGCAAGTAGGGCCAGGAGCTTCTCATTCCCAGGAAGAAAGCCGCATTTAGGGACTTCTTTCTTTTCCTGATTATCTGTTTCCATCTCATCATCCTTTGGTGGGGGGTCTGGAATATGGATGTCCAGGGGGGCCTGGAGAGAGGTCAGGTCAGCTACGTTGAGGGAGTCCTCTTGCAAGTGCTGATTCAGGTGTATGATTTTTTTGTGGCAAGACTCTGTGGAGAAATTCCTCAGCCTCCTGGAAAAGATTTTGCCAGAAGACATCCACCTATTTACAGGCTTCCCCGCTCAAGCACATCCCAACATCCCACAAGGCTTGGCCACGCTGCTCCTGTTGCTAGATCTTTGGTCTCCCGGTTCACCTAGAGGGTTTTTTGTAATGACCCTTTTCTCTTTAAAGAATTTTTTTTTTTAATTGGGGAAGGGGAACAGCCAAGTTGTTGTCCTTCAATCTTAGTTGTAGAGGGCGCAGCTCGCTCAGCGCCAAGTTAAGTCGCCATCTGGGCAGCTTGCGGCTGCTCATCTCAAGGTGCCATGTTCTATCTTAGTTAGGGGGGACCTGGAGTGCAGCCCACCATCCATGCGGGAGTCGAACCTTCAACTTTGTTGTTAGGAGCACGTGCTGTCACCAGCTGAGCCATCCTGCCACTTGTTGAGAGCTCAGTTGCAGTTCAGCTCAGTCACAGCTCACTGGCCCATGTGAGAATTGAAAAAGTGACCCTGTTGCTCAGAGCTCGCGTTCTTAACCAACTGAGCCACTCGGCCGGCCCCTACCCTTTTTTTCTTTATCTTTATTAAAACTTAAAACAGCATTAAATATAACATCTATTGATATGCCATAAGCAAGGAACCAAGAATGTTTGGTTGTATTTTGTTATGTTTTCTCATGACCAATAAATGTCCATGAGAAA